CAATATCCCACCGACAAAGCAGGACAACCTATTCCCTTGGGCTCTCCTCCTTTCAAGAAGCCATCACCCCGGGCACCGGGGACACCTTCACTGAGTGGATTTTTCAGTGTCGGCTGTGTCAAGCCCAGTGCCTGGCCTGGAAGAGGCACCGGGAAATGCTCAACAAAGGATTTCAAGATCACTTTGACAGCAAGGCTCCCAATCCCCATAAAGTACCTGTTCCCCTGTGGATGGGCCCCTCGGTGTCCTGATCTTACCTGAGCCAGGTCACCGTGGGCTGCAGGTTGCCTTTAAAGATGGCCTGGCTCTGAGCCATGAGCCCCTGGGTCTGCACATCCCCGATTGTGACCTGCATGGAGGGGGCCCTGGGTGGGGAATGGGGGAAACCCAGATTGCTTGGATACTGGCCACGTGGATCTGGGTGAGCGGCCCTAGTGAGCCTTTCAGCCCCCAGCACAGTGAGTCTTTGAGCCTCACTCACTTGTTTACTGAGCACCTACTATGTGCCGGAAAAGATGGTCAGGTTCATTCTTGTGCTCCCAGCTGGTGGTTGTGGAAGCCTTGAGGTACTTTATGGGGGACTATTTGCTTCTCAGATGATAGGATCGCCACATCCTGACTCTGGTGAGGCCTCCAATGGCCAGGAAGTTCTTCCTTCCGTCCAGCCACTGCCTCCCCTCCTTTCACTTAAGCTAATCCAGGATGATAGGTCAGTGGATGAAGAACATGCTGTTCTCAGGCCGTGAGGGGAGGAATGACCCCACGGACAGCCAAGTTCTCTGCCGCCCCCTTGCAGAACTCACCTGCTCAGGAGGCTGCAGCCTATACTGCGTGGGATGTGAGCCCCAGCCCTGGGGGAGAAGGGAATAGACTTCTGGGGCTGGAGACGCGCTCCCGACAGCCCTCTGTGCTGAGACTGCACACCCAGAGGGTCTGCCCCTCCTGCCCACCTCCTCTACTTAGAGGTTCTCAGGCTTAGAGGCACCGGGCTGCCAGAATGCAGCTGGAGGCTCCTTGGGGGCCAGCCCTCCAAGCCCCCTGCCTGTGCTGCTGGCGGAGCTCTGCTGCAGAGGAGTGGTGAGTCCTGCCCTGACCCCATAGCGAGGGGGTCCCAACCGCATGCTACGCCCCTGCTACTGGGTGGGGACAGGTCCTGCCTGTGCCAGGTAACTGTGCTGTCTCCTGTTCCAGGCCTGCGTGGGGGAGGGGCTCACACAGCTTCTTGGACTCCTGTTGGACTTGGCTGGGTGGGACAAGGGGACTAGTGAGACACAGCCCCGGGCTGGGACTGGCCGCTGCTCCCAGGTCCCACTTAGTCGGGGGTGAGGGGGCTGGCCAAATAGGCTGCCCCTTGAGCCAGGCGGAACTGGACATCACTCCTCGTGGGCCTGAGACCGCGGCTGTGCCCTGGTTCTGGCTGGGATGGGGATGGGAGACACACCGGAGCGGCCCCCGGGGGCTGTGGCCTACCTCCTCTTATCACCTCCCGTGGCTTCACGGTGCCCTGTGTAGCCTGAGTGGTCCTCACCTGCCAGTTTGTGCCTAGGCCGGTCCACGCTGCAAGGCCCCGACCATGCAGACAACAGGACCGCAGTGGCTCTGTCCTCCAGAACACACCCAGGCTACTGGACTAGGGAGGAATGTGTCCCAGAGCCCCTGCACTTTGAGGGAGGGGTGGGCTGCTGAGGGCCAGCTCAAGATGAGCAAGCCCACTCCATCGCAGCACCAAGAATGCTCTCGGTCCTTAAAAGATTCAAATGAATGAGTGTGCGCCAGCAGGATGCAGCATCACCTGTGCGCGGGGCCTCTGGCCGGGAAGAGTCCGACCTGGCCTCATCCCCGCGGCCCGAGGCCCTGCGGACCCAGTGTCTTGGCCTGGGTCCCAGCATAAGACAGAAACTACGCAGTGATTTAAATGGGATGCTTAATATAAAAATTGGTAAACTTGGATAAAAGAACGGCTAGATGATGTAATAAAACGACGCGGCGCTCGGGGGCTGAGGGAGAGCCCCAGAAAAGGCTTGGAAGGGGGCCCTCTTGAGGACTGGTGTTCGGGCACCACTGGGAAAGGTATGGTTGTGCCCGCTGGATGGCAGAGAAGTTGGCTGGGATGCCTGGGCCGTGGCTCTCCAGCAACCCTCTGGGGCACAAGCGGGGTACAGGCAGGTCAGCTGATGGCTGGGCCTGTGGACAGGAGAGCAAGTCGGGGCGTCAGTGTGCGCAGGAGGCCTGTAGCTCACAGTGTATCCCAGCCAGGGCCGCGTGTTCTGGTCCCACGGCTGGAGCAGGTCTCCAGGAGATGCCATCACACCCACACTCCTGACCTGCAGGAGGGCCCTTCCTCCTGCGACGTCCCTCTAGCGCCCTCTGCTGAGAATGCTGACAATGGCGCGCACGCTGAAGGAGCCCCTTAAAGGAATTTGTTCACTGTTCAGAGCAGGTGCGAAGGGTGGTGGGTCTGGAGTTCAAACCTGGGTTGTGGTCCCTCACGTGGACCAGCCACGTAGTTAGAGGTGCCCGGTCCTGTGCCAGTCGTCATGGCTGGGACAGAACTTTCTTTTCTACGTTAGATTGGGAGAAGTCGTCAAACAGGCATATGCAGGCCACCGGTTTCTTGTAACTTCCTATTATGTTGAAATAGTTGTAAAACTATTAATAACTAAATAACAGAAAATGATTTGATTAATATATTATTTATTATGTAACAATTAGTTCTGAGATAAAGTCCAATTCACTACATATTACTGAGGATCCTGTTGATTTTAGAAATGGTATAATCCAAACCTATTTTTCCACTACATTTTCTTAGGTAACTGCTAAGGAATTTTTCACTCCCATCATTTGGCTCTGGAAACTTTTGTTTACATTATAAAAAAAAATTTAAGTACAGCTATTAGGCATAGGTTAAAAGGGATGATATGGACAAACTGTAATAATTACAAATCAATACTTATTTTTTGAACACAGTTTGAATTTAAACATTCGAAATAATCAGTGTTTTAGATCAATTTAAAACATACTTCAAGACTTTTTTTTTTTTAATATCTTTCCTTTCTAATGCACTGCGAAAAAAATTTCCTTT